GCCCCCTTGCCGCCCTCCGCTAGGGCGATTTTGTACTGTGGGGGGCCGCCTGCAAATGGCGCGAGGGGGCATGGAATTTTGCAAGCGGCCCCCTTGCCGCCCTGGGGGAGGGCGATTTTTGCCTCCCCCCTATAAAGCCCAGTCCCTCATCTGTGAAATTTCATTATATTCACTAAAAATCCAAAAAAAACGAAAGAGAGAGAGGGGAGGGCAGCAGAAGGGGAGCGGCGAAGCCCTGCTGGTTCGCTCAATTCATCACAGGTATGCTCCCATACATCTTTTGCATTTGTACTAATATGTTATGTTTGAGTATATATGTTGCGTTTTAGTTTTAGTTCCATATATTTTAGCACATCTATAGCACACAGCACATATGTGTAGATCCAGAGCATAGAATATAATAGTATGAATTGAGACATAGACAGTAGTGTTAATTGTAAGATGTAGTTTAGTTTGATCTGGAGAATGTAACGTAATTTTAGAAATTTAGAGAACAATATTGTAGAGAATGTAACTTAGGGCGTAGTACAGAAATGCGAGGTTAATGCGAGGATTTAGAATAGACCAAGAAGTCTACACAATGTCAGTGTCAGTTGTAGTGAGTCGTGCAACAGAAGGTTATTTTTGGGAACTAATGCCGATGGACAGCACTGATGCTTGGAGACGGTATGTGGAAATGGCTTTTGAACGGTCATGGCCCCTCGTTATATTTGTGTCGGTACAAGAGAAAGATATAAATGTTTCAATGCAAACCGAAGATGTAGAGGGTCCTATCAATGCAGGGGATGTTGTTGGACCATCGATGCAAAATGAGGAAAATCAACCAAGGGAGGAGCAGGCTATGGGCATGGCGGATGAGGGGGAGAGAGTCGGTATAATTGTTGATGAAATGGAGAGGGAAGATTCGGATAATGAGGAAGTGGACGACGACGCATCATTCGATGAGGAAGGTGATGTAATGGCCACTGATTGGGCAAATGAGGACTTCTCTGGACTTGTTATATCCTGGGAGTATAAGGAGAACGAGGTAATTGAGGGTGCAAGGTATGCTCATAAGGATGAGATGAAGGAGGCGGTGAAGCATTGGGCAGTTTCCTTGCAGAGAGAGTTTAGGGTGGTCAAGTCAACAAATTATGTGTATGAAGTGAGGTGCATGAAGGAAGATTGTCCGTGGCTGTGTCCATGCATATAAGGGTAAATGGAATGATTATTGGAAAGTTAGCATTGTGCCCGAGCACAAGTGCTACTTACAAGGGGTGGAGAAGTATCACCGAAACATCACTTCAGCTTTTGTGGCAAGTGAGATGTACAGCAGTGTTGTTGGTAACATTGGCTTTGAACCAAAATCAATTATTAGGCACATCGAGAACAAATTCAAGTACACCATAAGCTATGCAAAGGCCTGGAGAGCCAAACAAAAGATCATTGAGATGAGGTATGGCACATTTGAAGCTTCTTATGATAATTTGCCTCGTTTGTTAGCCACCATTGCCCAGAGGAATAATACTACGTACTATGACCTACATACATTTACATCGGTTGATGATCGAACAAAGAGTGTGCTGCAAAGAGCCTTTTTCTCATTGGGTGCTTGCATCAATGCTTTTGTGCATTGTCGACCTGTTCTATGCATAGATGGAACTTTTATGACAGGTAAATACCGAGGTCAGATATTGACAGCAATTGGGTGTGATGGGAACAACCAGGTTCTACCTATGGCTTTTGCATTTGTAGAGAGTGAGAACACTGAAAGCTGGTACTGGTTCCTAGAGAGAGTGCACATTGCAGTGGTGCGTATGAGGCCCAACGTTTGCCTTATACATGATCGTCATGCGGGTATGTTGCGGGCTATTGACTACTTGCAGAACGGTTGGGATGAGAAGGGACTTCCAGCTAAGTGGCCTGATGTTCGGAGTCGGTGGTGCATGCGTCACATGGGTGCAAATTTCTACAAGCAATTCAAGAACAAGCATCTTATGGAGCTCTTTAAGAGGCTCTGTGCACAGAACCAAGAGAAGAAATTTAATGAGTTGTGGGACAAGTTGGATGAGTTGACAACGAAGCAAACAGATGAGCAATCTCGCAGACCACTAGTTGAAGGTGACGAGCCTCCCATACCTCTTGGTGCATTACATGATGACCCACCAACAATGAGAAGGAGGTCAGGGTCGTCCATCAGAAATTTCACTCAGTGGATTGAGAATGAGCCTAAGGAGAAGTGGTCTCTATTGTTCGACACCGATGGATCTCGGTATGGCATAATGACAACCAATTTGGCAGAGGTGTACAACTGGGTAATGCGAGGAGTTCGGGTACTTCCATTGGTTGCTATTGTTGAATTCATCCTTCACGGCACGCAAGCATACTTTAGGGATCGATACAAGAAAATTGGTCCGTCCATGGCCGATAACAACATAGTGTTTGGCAACGTAGTGACAAAGTACATGGAAGATAAAATCAAAAAGGGACGGAGACATCGAGTTGTTGCTCAATGCACACAAGTGCATCGGTATGAAATAATGTGTGTTGATAGGAGCAGGCGTGGTATCTATTGCAAGCAAGCCGTGCAGGAATGTGTCTTGAAGGCGGATGGTGGATGTACCTGCAGTTGTATGAAGCCGAAGCTTCATCACCTTCCTTGCTCACACGTTCTTGCTGCTGCCGGTGATTGTGGCATATCTCCCAATGTGTACGTCTCAAATTATTTCAGGAAAGAAGCAATCTTTCATACATGGAGTGAGGAGATATATGGGTTCGGGATCTCAGGATCTTACACAACGCTGAGTGCCCAAGTTTTTTATATTCCAGATCCATCTAAGTTAAGGGTGAAAAAGGGTCGACGCCAAACTAGACGCATCAGAAATGATATGGATGAGTCAGAAGCAGGTGGGAGGACTTTACGCTGCAGCAAGTGTGATCTGCGCGGCCATACTTACAAGAAATGCCCGAAGAATGCATAAGTTCCAAGCGGCGCAGATGCTAGTCCATCTGGACAGGCAAGTGATGGTAGGCGACCACCTGGTGAAGGAACAACAAGCAGGCGCGCAAGGCCAATGCGTCGTCGCGCAGCAGGCGATTCCATGGTGTAACAATGCTTTCGATTTAGGAAATAAAATGTTGTTGTGATGTAATGAGTGTTCGGACTAAATACTTCTATCGTGTAATTTCAATTCAATGTTGTTGTAATGAGTACCTCCGACTATTGTTGTACTATTGCCTTCGAGCGCCCCTAGCTTCGGAGCAGTGCGACCTATAGCACCGGTTTCGCACGGTACAGTTCAGCCCAGCTATTAGTTCATTTTTGTTTCAGCTTTTGCACGAATATGTCACCATGTTTTAACTGCACGTTTCCTCATCGCAGGACCTCGTCTGCCTTCGAGCGCGTTCGCAGGCACGACCGGCGCTTCCGCGAGCTCCGCAGGGGCGTTCGCCACCTCTTCGGGCGCGTTCGCCAGCTCTTCATCTCACGGAGCGCCGATCCCTCGCCCACACGGTACTTTACTTTTTATTACTACTGTTAAATACTTGTACGAAACTGATGGTCCTTGTCCAGCAGGATTTGCAGCCGGGATCTTCGGTACTGGGGCCTCTTCGTCTCACGCCGGTAGGACTGGTCCTACTAGCCAGTTCTACGACGACGACTTGCACGGTGCACACCACCACGACGTACTAGGCTCCTCTCAGCTTGGAGGAGCTCCAGAGGCGCACACTCAGGAGCAGCCAGAGGTCACACCTGTACAGGCAGGACGGGTTGGCCGTGCCGTACCCCCGGACCGACTCACGTACTCCCAGGGGCACATTAGGGCGCAGGGTAGGAGGGACAGGGGTAAGAGGCCTCGTCAGTAGTGTTCTACCTCTTCAGTCCTTATGTGACCGTTTCTTTTGGCTTACAAACTTGTAAAGCAGTACTACTTTTACTATTACTACTGCAGTACTACTTGTGTTTGTCTCGTCTACATAGTTCTTTTCATTCATATAGTGCTAGAACAACTTATGCTCACGACAACACACTTTCGGCGCTTCACGGTAGTGTCAGATCCAGTAGCGTGCACAGTCCACAACAGCACACATGAAAAGCGGCAGCTCGAGTTATCACTATCAACTTTCGGCGCTGCCTGTTGACATAAAGTGAATCACGCCCACGCGTGATCGTCTTGTCACATCTAATGAATAATGTATCTCATTGAGTTCACATATATTGCAGTGAAAACGACGCTATATAATTGACAATCTGAAGGCAACCTCTTCATATCTTCTTTCCCACTAGCACACCACACACGAAAATGGAAGCCTATTCATTGGTAATACGTAATCTAGATTTGAGATTATGTAGAACATTCTTCACTACAATTTTACATTTTGGCAGCAAACCAAATATGATCAAATGCAATTTTACCTTACCAAATATTTGGTAGTGCCAAAACTTGCTTATATTTTGGCACTAACAAAATATTTGTACGGTAATAATCCAAATATGCCCTAAAAAATAATAAAATTGTATTTTACCAGTCTTGGAGATTTTAATCTTGTATAGTTTTCAATATAAAAAGATTTGATAACTATTGATATTTATAAAAAATATAGAGCACAGTATAAAATCGCCCTCCCCCAGGGCGGCAAGGGGGCCGCCTGCAAAATTCCATGCCCCCTCGCCGCCCATTTGCAGGCGGCCCCCCCCACAGTACAAAATCGCCCTAGCGGAGGGCGGCAAGGGGGCCGCTGCAAAATTCCATGCCCCCCCTCGCCGGCCCATTTGCAGGCGGCCCCCGCACAGTATAAAATCGCCCTAGCGGAGGGCGGTAAGGGGCCGCCTGCAAATTTCGTTGACGGCCGTCGCCCGAGAGCGAACGGCCGTCTGTCACGTCATTTTCGCCGCCCTCTGAGAGGGCGATTTTTACAAATCGCCCTCCCAGAGGCGGTAGGCGACTACTTCCGTCAATTTTCAAAATGGAAAATTATTTTTGTAAAACTTTTAATAAAAAAAATTATAAATAAAAAAAATTCGTTGCTCTTGCATATCAACAGCTCAACGATAAAAAGGAAAAAGTACACCGAAAGTCCCTCGACTTGTCATCGGGATAAAAATTGTCCTCAAACCGCAAAACCACGATTCCCCGACGACCTCCTCTCGTCGGGGAGCGTGTTGATATACAAGATTCTTTAACTATACAAAACCGATCACCCGAGATTGTTCGGTGGTTTTCACCCTGGTTTTGGTCTACGTGACGGCTTGAGTCAGCATGAGACCCACGTTGGTCCCATATGTCAGGATGTCACGTCAGCCAGTCTCTCCCTTCCTCTCCTTTCCTCCTCTCTCTCTCTCTCCTCTCTCTGGACTGGGCAGGCCGGCTGGCGATGCGGTAGCGGCGACGCGGCGGCGGAGACACAGGAGAAGGGGAGGGCGGCAGCAGGGCAAGGCGGCATTGGCGGGCGAGCGCGGTGGTGGAGAGGCGGCGGCGTCGACGGCGGCTGCGAGGCGGGAGGGGATGCCGGCACCGACCTAGAATCGGAAGCCGAAATGCGACGCCGGCCCTAGGGCCCTCCACGCCGGCGCACGAGGGGCTCGCCGCGGTCCTCGCAGCGTCCAAGGCCGCATCCGGTGGTTCCCCGGCCATCCCGCCTCCAGCAACGGCGCCACGCTTTCCGCAGCCAAGGGCTACGACGGCGAGGACCGCGTCAACGCACTCCCCGATGACCTCCTCTCGGCAAGCTCGGACCGGTGCACGACGCGGAAGGGGTCCGGGTGACCGGCGAGGGCGCGGCCGACGGCAGTTGATCCTAACAAACTGACCACAAGCTCTGCAAAACGCAAGGAACACTTAAACCAAAGATCACAGAACAAAAAATAAAAAGAGGGGGAGAAGAATTATCCTTCTTCGCTGCTAAGAAATATGGTGCTAAATAAACTAAACGAATTTCCCAAATCTATCTTGTACCTTTTTTCCTCATATATGATCTTTGAAATTCACAAATGAGATCAGTGCGATTTAAGAATTTTCAACTGTAAAAGAATCGGACTTACCAGACGGAGCAGGGACACAGAGCCGGATGGCAAATGCAAGAAGAAAGTGCCATCGAGCCATAGCTGAGCGGAGGCGGCGGTATCCCCGCTGCGGGGCTCTGGGGTCGTGGGCGCAGAGGCGTACCGATGGAGACGGTCTGAAGAAGACAAAGGCAGCGAGTTAGGTGATCTTTCTCGTCACCGCCTCTGATCTCGTGGCAATGGCGGAACAAGAATCGGACACAGCAGAGCGCAGGCACAGCACGCCGTGGGAGAGAGAGACAGAGGAGAGGAGAGGAGGGGGGAGATGACGTGGCATCATGATATGTGGGGTCTATATGGGTCTTACGCTGACTCAGCCGTCACGTAGAACAAAACTAAGTCAAAACCACCGAAGGATCTCGGGTGACCGATTTTATATAGTTAAGAGACTCCGTATACCTAGTTTTGTGGTTGGAGGACGATTTTGTAACTCGATGAACCTTCGGTGTACTTTTTCCACGATAAAATCCAGTTGATTAATAAGCTGGTAAAGTAGCAAACTACTTTCTGTAAATTAAATATGACGGATTAATTAGAGCATGATTAGTTCAGTATTAGAAAATAAAAATAGATTAATATAATTTTAAAGCAAGTTTTCTATACTTTTCTTTTTTAAAAAAGTACCAACCGGTATCAGTTTAGAAAATGTGCATGAATAGTGAGGGAGTTTAAGCTGGAAAATGTGAGTATGCAAAATAACTGCACGCTAATTAATTTGCAAGAGAGTAAACGTTGAATAACTAGGACAATGCCACATAAGTATGTCGGGAGACTCACCTTCTGTATTGGAGTAATTAGCTTAACCTTGATTTATTTCCTTTGTTTATATACATAGAATCACTAGTGATCATCTGCAAATCAAAGCTATAGGAAGGGGCTCTCTGCGCCGCTCTCACGCGGGCGGCTCAGGAACGGAACCCTAGCCGCCCGCGCCACCCCCTCCCGACACCTCCAGCCACCGGAGCCCGCCGCCGAAAACCGTGCGGCCGGCCGGGAAGGCGGCGGTGGAGAAAACGCGCTGACGGCGGAGCGTCTCCTCGGCATGGGAGGTGACACGACGCACGCGTGGCAGGTGGCTGAGCGGCCGGCGGGGTGGATCCAGGTGCGTCGGATGCGGATCCGGCCTCCCCGGTGGCGGATCTGGCCCCCTAGTGGCCAGATCGGAAGAGAGGCAGCGACGGCGCGGCGACTCGACTTGGCGTCGAGCTCGCGACAGTGGCGGCGCATCTCGGCGAAAGAACTCGCGGTGGCGGCGACGGCCGCGATGGCATGTCGGCGCGGCTTGGGCGGGAGAACTCGAGGCGGCGGCATCGGCGTGACTCGGACTTGCGGCGACGGTGGTGGCAACTGGGTGGGCCGGCCGGCGTGGTGGTGGCCGTCCGCTGGCGCTGGCGACGGCATCGGCGGCGGGCGACCACGGGATGTGGCGACCGCGGTGGGCCATATCTGGCTGAACGACGATCGCGATGGCAACGTGGCTACGGAGGCTGCGGCGGCAAGCCACGCGCATGGCTGCCGATGGCGGCGGCGGCGGTGACGGTCGCGGCTGGCGGCGGCTACCAACGGCGGATGGTGATGGCGGCGGCGACACAGGCAGGTGGTGGCCACCGTGGCTAAGGTGGGAGGAGGCATGGCAGCCTCAAACAGCTAGCCGAGGGCGTGGCAGACGGCTGCATCTGGTTGGCGCGGCAACATTTGGAGGAGGGGTTGAAGACCGTCTTGGCGCAAAGAGGCGCAGCCGATGGCAGCGGAGGCCGGCTAGGCGCGAGAGATGCGGACGGCGCAAATGGAGGCCGGTTTGGTGCGAGAAGCGCGACCGATGGAGGGAGGCCGGATTGGCACGAGAGGCGCGTCCGGTGGAGGAGGCCGGCTTGGCACGAGAGGCGCGGCTGGCGATTGAGGAGGCGTACCTCGGTGCGAGGAGGAGCTGCCATTGGGTTTGGAGCATTTTTCGGCGCATGAAGGCTAGCCGGCGGGGCTTCGGTGCAGGGGTCCCACATGTCGGCAGAGTTTGATTGTTGCTGGAGCATCGGTGCATCAGCCGTGGATTCGCAGGTGAGCGGGTGAAAACCCAGCCCAGCCTTAGCCGGACCGACAACAATGGTTAATTTTCCCTCCTGAGGGCGTTATCGTGCTGTATCACCCCTCAAGGGTGGTTGCCGGGTGAAAGCCCAGTCTTGGCTCCTTTGAGCCCCGACGGACGGTGACGCGGTTTTCCATCGCTTCTCTTCTTAAAGACATCTTTTTGGCAGCTAGCTGTTGGGCGATCTCGTCTGCGTTACTTTGTTGGTCTAGCTGCAGTTGGTCACGCTTAATGGCGGTCGATCCGGTGCTAGCCTTCTTCCGGACTTATGTGTTGGCACTGTTGGTGTGTGGGTGGTGGTATATTTTTTTACTTTTTCCTGGTTACGACCCTCCAGTGTTGTAATCTTGTAATTTATAACTACTCTATCAATCAAACTTTACACCGTCTCGTGCGAATCTTTAAAATCTGTAGTTTGCACTTAGCAGAATAGACAGATAGCGACGAAGATACGTGCGTTGCTCGCTTGTTAATTCCTACCACCTCCGTGTGTAATATATAACGTCATTAACATTTTAGAAAATATTTGACCATTCGTCTTATTTAAACCTTTCTAAAATATAAAATATATTTAAGTCATACTTTAAAAAATATTTAATAATAATAAGATAAATAATAATTATATATTTTTTGAAAAATAAGACGAATGATTAAACGTATCTAAAAATTTAACAGCGGGGAGACCGTGTTTGATTATGACTACCGACGAGGCAAGCAGAAGATCGATTCGGCAAGATTTGATCGATCCACCGGACAAAAATCAAATTAAGGTGATTAATCCATCGCACGCGTAATTAAACATGCGAACGAGACGTGGTTGCCTCACTCATGTCCATTAGTATTTTTAGTAGCACCATGATGCACTGTCACACCGAGATCGACGAGAATCTTGAGATATCCATGCATGTTTTCGCAAATACATGACCTGATCAGCAGATATTCAAATTGATCGGATCGACCTGTTGATTAGTTCAGATTATTGAGATTTGAGAAATTCAACGACGACCCGTCTCAGTCTCCGCAGACAAATGTCTGAAGTTATAATTGATTCGCTTTCTTAAATGGTTGATACTATACAGTTTTTGCATATAATTCGTCTGATTCGATCCGGTGATCACCAGTGAAATGAACTATATTATATATACCAAAATGAAATAAAATAAATAAACAGTAACAAATGCTGATCAAATCAAGGCATATCAATATCACGAATATATGGCTTTGTTTTTCGTTACATTCATGGATGCTTTCTCTGAATTCGTCGCACAAAGCTAACCATTTCTGGTGACTGCATGCCAACAGAACACATGCAACTTGTGAATATACCACGTTGCCAAAATCTCAGATATCAGTGATATAACTACTGGCTTTCGTCTCTGTCGCGCAAGTGGCCATATATACATACACTTGTGTTCAAGCTCCATATAGCCAGGTATGCCGAACTCCGTTGCAATAATTTGCAAGTTGTATTGTAAAACGATGCTATTTTGGCTACGCCGGATCGGAGTATCTCGTTTTAGGCAGGAGATTATGGAATTGATGGTGCACTTCTAGCAGCCAAATTTTGTCTGACAATGATAGATAATATATGGGGCCAAAACATATACTATAATTCAAGACAAAAGTGCAAGCTAATGGACGTGACTACACAGCTAGTGATAGCTAGTTTGTCTAAACCAGCTACCACTCCACCTATAAGAGACTCTATCCACCTATACTTCAAATAAAATTTTCTCTTAAACTACTCATTTGATCTATGATCCGATTACACTGTTGTGTTCATAACAATTAAATCTTTATAATAAGATCTCACATGATTATATTTTGATGAAAAATTATAAATTACTTTTAGATTTCACTAAATTACTTTTAGATTTCACTAAATTACTTCTTCGACATATAAAAGTAAATTCAATAAAACTTAAAAGTAATTTACATATATTATAGAAGTAACTATAACAAAAGAAAATAACTTTAATAAATTTACTTCTAATGTCGTGACAAAGTTACTTCCATTTGGTTTTAAGATACTTTTATAATACATGTAAATACCTTTTAGACCTTTATTGAATTTACTTTTATATGTCTAAGAAGTCAATTCGTAACGTTCTAAAAGTCAATTATATATATATATGATAAAAGTAACTTACGTATATAATAAAAGTACTTTACTACTATCTATATTTTTTCATCGTAATATAATCATGTAAGATCTTGTTGTGAAGATTTAATTGTAACGAACACAATGTTGCAATCGGATTGTAGATCGGATAAGTAATTTGAGAGAAAACTTTATAAGAATGAAGAAAAAGACATGCATGTCTAAGATGAAAAATAAGCATGCACGTCAACACGTGTAGTAGTACTTCTTCTCATAATTCGTTCATCGCTGGTTATCACTAAACCGAGAAGATTTTATCCAAGCTAATATATTATGTGGTGCCACAGATCGGGAGGCAAGGCCATTTCAACCTTGCGATTAATGGCCTTTTTGTAGCTCGTGCCAAACCTTGCTTAATTTGTTTGCCTAGCCAATTGCCATTATATTGTTCTGTTTTGGAGCGATCATTTTTCTAATAGAGAACTTTTACGGAACAACATATACTATGCTGCCATTATAAATGAGCATTTTTAATAATATCATGCTCTAGTCCCCAGACTCCCATGGAGTCATCGTGATAGGTGCATCTTATATTTTAAAAGCTGGTCTTTAATTTTAAAATAATAATAATAAACCTGGTGTTTGTTTTAACTAAAGCTACAACCACTTATTTCGTAATTCATGGTTCAAATATGATAGAATAAAGTCAAGTATTCAAAATACTGCAAAATTTCCATACAAACTTTTTCAAAAGAATTGCATCGATTCTGGACAAACAGCCCCTCGATCTAATTTCTCGCAGTCCAGATTAACTGAACGCACGTGCGTTTTATTTGTTTTCATAGTAGATGCACGCACATACGTCATTCTTTCTTGATTCTCGCATGTTGTATGATGTATGTATATACACTGCATTGATAATATGATTGATTTAGACAGAAAATGAATTAGTACAACCTCGTTTCAAAAATAAAGTAATCCCTCCGTACTCGTAAAGGAAGTCGTTTAGGACAATGTTTAAGTCAAACCTTGGGAATATAAATTTAACTCTCAAGTTGTTGAGTTTGAAGATGTAAAAATTATATGAATAGATTTGTCTTGAAAAATACTTGCATAAAAGTATACATATATCATTTTTCAATAAATATTTTTATAGAAACAAGTAGTTAAAGTTGTGTTTTGGAGACCGTGTCGCTGTCCTAAACGACTTACTTTACAAGTACGGAGGGAGTACTACCTCCTGTTGCAAACAAGTGACATTTTTTCAAGTTTTGAACATCAAAAGTCATCAAGGCACTAGTACTTTGACGATTCATTACTAAAGTATAAAACATATAAAAAAACAGAGGAAAGTTCTATTGTTCTGAAACTATTTTAGGAGCTAAATTTAGCCATACCACTTTTAAAGTTGAATAAAAAAATATCCAAAGAGATATTAGTAGATGTCAGTGTCATATGGGATCATGGCTTTGGGGTCCCTCACTTGGCCAATTTCCTTAACATGGAATGCAAAGTTGTCAAAGCCGTGTGGGTCGTGGGCCAGTAGTGCTTCTCTCCAGCCTAGGTAGACCAGATCCGAGGCCTTGCAGGGAGGTTCACATGATGTTTGCTTCTGCTTGTTGCCGCAGTGGCTGTAGCTGTGACGGTTGAGAATAGCTGCCGGCAACATAAGCTCTTAGAACGGTTTGAACATCTGAGACTGTTAGGGTCAATCGGCTCGGGTCGAACTAAGCCGTGCCAGCAGAGCTGTTCGGAGGCAACAACATGTCCCATACGGTTGTTGGGTGTGTTCAGTTCACTCTAAAATTAGAAGTTTAGTTGAAATTGGAACGATATGACGGAAAAGTTAAAAGTTTGTGTGTGTAGGAAAGTTTTGATGTGATGGAAAAGTTGGAAGTTTGAAGAAAAACTCAGCCATTGTACGAGGCCAACTGATTGCCGCTAAGGAAACTAGGCCATGGCACTGGTTAAAGATAGAAATGTTATGACCGCTCATATTGCAAAACGTATTTATTTGTGACCAGAGGAAGTATAACACAATTCCCCTTTCTTTTATCATTCATGATTCTATATTTTTATTTGCATGCTTCGCATGCACCTAAACGATGCATTCCACACACAAAAAAATTATAAATATAATTTTATCGGATTGCTTTTATAGGACAACCTTTTAATTTGTAGGAATCAATTCGTTCGTAGATATCCATCGATCTATAAATTTTAAGTATCTTAAACGGGTCGATGTAATGCCTTAAAAATTTGCTCCGTACCTCATGGTACCAAATCGTTTTCGATCGTTGAATCTAGCTAGATGAGATAGGCATTGTTAGATCTAACAGTCGAAAATGATTTAGTACTGTAAGATGCTGGTATCTTAAAGGTACTTTTTGTTGGACCAGAGCAAATCTCAATGTCTTACTTCTCTCGAAAAAAAAAATCTCAATGTCTTATGCATGCAGAGCGGGGAACCTTTCGTGCGTAGGTACAACCCGCTTCAATGCAGAATACAACAGCGTGCAAATTGATCAGGATTATTCAGGAGGAGCACGCATGGATGTATCGATCGGTTTGATGATCGATGTGGTTTGGTTGGTTGGTTGGTTGAAGGTCGGCTTCAGATTCAGCAGCTATCGCCAGCACTGTTCAATGATGTGCGTCGCCTCGCCTGAATTGGCCGATCGATGCGTCCATATGAACTGAACATTTCCGACTTGTTTAGCTCACCTAATTATTCAGTCGATATATATGATATTATTCCAGATATATTGTTTCTCTTTTCCAGGTTGTTCGCTGAAGAAGAAATTGCCTGGACAGTTCCAGCAGTGGACTGAGCAGTGGCGGACGTAGGATTTTATCCATTGCGTTTCGAGGAAAAGATTCGATCTGCCCTTTTTATTTCTGCGATCCGTGTTAATTTGGAACTAGAAAATATAGATCATCAACAAGATTAACTTTTTTCCTTCTTTTCGGAGTGGAAGGTAGCTGGGATTCTTCTTGTGCCACTAAGTAGTGGTGGAATTCGATTATTATTTGGTACCCTAAAAGAAATGAAGAAAAAAAAGTAGTAAGTGGAATGTGATTCTGGAATACCATTTTCAAGATCTCACAGGACCAGATGCTGTTGGGCTGTTCCCCGGGGTTGTCGATTGATGCAGACGACTCGGTTTTAATTAGTCAGTTCACACTTCGCAACTTGATCACTCTAATTATGTATGTAACTGCAAGTGGGGAAGTAATTTACTTGCAGTAGTTGCTCAGCATGCAGTAATAATATGCAAGTCAGTAATCAGTCTTGACTTGGTAAAGTACTGAATTATTGCATAACTGAACTGAACACTCTGTAACTCTGTCGAGTAGTGCTCCGGTGCAATATACTTACAGTATTCTACTACAAGTAGAATTAATCTCGACCGTTTATGTTAAAAGATAGATTAGTAATCTTTTCATACAGATTAGGGGTAATTTTGGAATAGGATGATCATCTCGACCGTTTGCCGCAACGCATCTCGCCCCCGACGCATCACCGCGGTTTCTGCTCCTCCTCCCGACAGGCGGCGACGCGGCCGGCGGCGCTGCGCCCGAGCCCCCGACGCTGGCCCGCATCACTACCAAAATTTCTCATCCTCCTCTTCCTCTTCCCCTGATTTTTTTTGTCATGATGTGACCAGGGCAGGGTCGTTGGTGGACCTGCTCCCTTGGTAAGTTTCCCAACTCTGATATCGCATTCTTGCTGATGAAAAAGATCTTCCGAATTGCAACAATCTGATATGGCTCACTGAACTTTTGATCTTTGCTGATGAAAAGATCCTCCAAAATCTTTACTGAAATTTTGCTTCCTGAATTGAGCTTAACTGTTGCATAATGAACTGCGCTTACATGTTGCATACTGAACTGAGCTGGGCTGCATTTCTATGTCTGAAACAGTCGCTGGCATTGGTTCACGCCGACGTCGACGACGACAAGGTTCTCTTCGTGCCGTGGGTGTGAGTGGAGACCGACTTCAGGACTGGCGACAACCCGTGGTGGGCGTAAGCTATAACAACATGATCCATATCATCAGCAGCAAAATTCACTTCTATGATCAGCTTGTAGCTATAAGTCCGCTGTACCCTATAAGAAAACGCTGCTGCAGAGAAGGCGGCGAGGCCAGGGGAGGCGACGGCGCTGGAGGGGACGGAGGCAGCGAGGGAGAAGGACCAGCGACAAAGACGGGTATGGAGAGGAACGGGCGATGAAGGAGAGGGATGGAGGGGAATGACGTTGATTAGAATAGGATAGGGAGAGGGTGAACAGTTAGATAATGGCAAATTATGATAATACCTCCACGCGAATTATTATCTCTAGACAAATATACCCCTCCACATTTCTACTCCCATAAAATTTGGTGGGAGTAGAACTAGATCTCAACCTTACGATTAAATACGATCAACGGCTCATATTCTACTCCAAGTAGAAAGGACCGGAGCGAGCTGCTCAAAATTAAGAGATGTTGCTGATAGATGAACACAGTACATGTTCACAGTTTGTTTCATTTCTCCACTTTTGACAGTGAGGTTGGATCAAGCTGGGCAAGCAATTCAACAGCAGCAGCATCAGTGGCTGGCATGAACAGGTCAGAGAGACATAATCACATAAATCGAGCCTTGATTGAACTAGCTGCTGCCACTACAATTAATCAGCTAACTAATCTGCTTATCTGCTGCTGCTAATTACACATCGAGCCTTGATTGAACAGCAGCAGCATCAGTGACTGGAATGGACAGATCAGACAAGCACAGAGCCTTTTGATTGAACTAGCTAAGCTAGTGCTACAACTACTGATCAGCTAACTAATTAATCTTCTGCTAATCTAGTGCTCTGAGCTGTTCATGCAGATGTTGCAGGTTCATCTCCTTCCCAGCAACGGGAGAAATCAAGAACCAACTATAAGCTCTGCCTAGCTCGACGCCGGCGACGGCGAGCCTGGGGGGTTTGATCGATCCATCGGCGGCGAGAGGCGACACAGCTTCTCCTTCCGATCCCGGTCACCGTGACGGCGGCGCGGAGGAGGAGACGCGGACGGGGGCGCGGCGGCCCGTGCCGGAGCCGCCGCAGCTCCGGCAGGGCGCCCGCCGCGTGCCGGCGCACGCCCGGCACCCGGAGCAGTCGCCCCGGGCGTCGGACCACCGCGCGCACAGCCGGCACTCCTCCCGCCCCGTCCCTCCGCACGCCGCGCACCGCGGCGCCGGCTCCGGCGCCCCCCACCGCAGCAACGCAGCCGGCGACGACGTTCTGCCGCTGCTGCTACTGCTGTTGTTGCTCCTGTTCGCCATCGCCACGCCGGCCAGCATCCCCAGACCCGCGGACGCCACCGCGATCGGTGCCACCACCACCACCATGGTCGTCACTCGTCGGTAGCTAGCTAAGCAAGCAAGCGAGCAAGCTGGATCGATCGATCGATGGATGGATCGTTGGAGGGAGAGAGATGGGTGGGTTTCTTGGAGGAGATGAGATGAGATGAGATGAGGCGAGGGGAGGGGAGGAGGGGGGAGATATATAGTAGAGTGGGTGGGTCGTCGCGTGGGGCGTCGTCAAGGCGGGCGTCATGGCGACCATGGGCATTGGGGCAATGGGCGGATGGTGGGTGGGTTTTGGAGGGTAGTGATTATACTATCTGTTTTTTAATAAATGACGTCGTTAACTTTTTCTCACATGTTTGACCATTCGTCTTATTCAAAAAAATTTATACAAATATATAAGATATAAATCACAAGTACTATGAGTGATAAAATAACTCATAACAAAATAAGCTATAATTACGTAAATTTTTTGAATAAGACGAATGGTTAAACATGTGAGAAAAAGTTAACGGCGTCATCTATTAAAATGTTTGACCATTCGTCTTATTCAAAAAAATTTATACAAATATATAAGATATAAATCACAAGTACTATGAGTGATAAAATAACTCATAACAAAATAAGCTATAATTACGTAAATTTTTTGAATAAGACGAATGGTTAAACATGTGAGAAAAAGTTAACGGCGTCATCTATTAAAAAACGGAGGAGTATTATTTTTCATTGATTAATATAATTTATTAATTAGCTGGGGACGAGGGGGGAAATTAATTGGAGATTACTTAGACGCGTGGGAATTGTCGCTTTCCTAGTACTAGTAGTAGCTTAATAATATAATTAAAATTTCATATATTTTATAAAACTTTTTTCTAAAAATTTTAAAATAGACCCTTGATTTTTTTAATATGTTAAAAGATTACCTGTTTTTATTTCAAAACTTTTAAATGTAACTATAGTATATGCTATAATGTAATTATATATAATTACACTATAACAATTTTATTAGTCTATATAATATGTATATGAGTACTGCAAAATTACATGTACACTAAAACTGTACTACAGTTGTTTGAAAGTATATAAAAAAACTTATGATAGTCTTTTAGCAATTCTCTGTTTTTTTTTCATAAACAGGGTGCACCTTTTCTCGGCACGGTTAATTTGGTCTTGTCACTCAACATAGGTATTCCACTGAAGCTTCTAGATATAGCAAGTGGAAAATTTTATCTTTCAACTAATTAGTTAGAAAAAAGTATTGGCTGAAAATGTAAATTCTTTTTTCCTAGACTAATGTTCTCACTAGCTTGGCTTCATACGTCAAAATCGTTCTCCGGTGGCTTTTTCATGGTGTGTGTCCATGTTTCGATCACCAAAAATTTAATTGTAACCCTGGTTTGATGGAATCTTTATGTTCCAACCTCTAGTAACCCATCATCCGAATTCCTGGAAATTTCATGACTCAATAAACATCTATTTGTGATATACATCTAATAAGGAATCCAGACTACTTCATAAATGTGCATGATGGCAACTGCAGTGCAGATGTGAGATACATCTCATTGCCATGAAACATCTCTTCTAGCCTTCTCCCTTGTCCTTTCTACATGTTGGATGGCCATCTTTCTTTTTCTCCAGCATAGACAGAATCAACCCTTTCACCTTTGCTATTCATTAGGCAACCAAAAAACTAAAAGAAAAAAAATAGTTGAATCTGCTCATGGTTGATTTGCACCACGATTCGTGCTCCTGCCGTCCTCCTTGGTAGTGGCTTCTTGACCGATGCCATTGAGAGTGGCGGCGCGTGAACTAAGTTTTGAAGTAGGTTTAGGAAGAAAGAAGACGGAGGATTTTCAGGCTTACAGGAATAGCCGGGGTGGTGGTGGCCCAATAATAGGTGGTGTTCGTGACTGGTAGTGAAGCGGCGGCATCGCCACACTAGCTGAGGGAAAGGAGGACACATTTATTATCCAGTGTTAGTGGCAAGCCAGGGCAGATCTACCAGAGTGGCTAGGGACTCAGGAATGGTACGTGGTGACAGATCTGGTAGCGGGATCCGCTAGAGATGAGGGAGGAGAGATGGGGTTATGGCTTCTCACCGAAGAGATTATGAGGTAGGAGTATGGCGACCGTATCTACTGGCTCAAGCCGTTGGAGACAGGGGAGGAGTGGTTAGGCAAGAGAATCTTGTTGTAGATGGCTCATTGACAATGAGCTATGAAGGGAGACCATAATAGAGAAGATGGCGGTGCGTTGTTGAAGGTGGCGGCGCGTAGGTGGAGGTGGGAATGGGGCGTGGAGAGAGAGGGAGGAAATGGTTTTAACCCTAGCACAAATCTCAAAGTGATCCTGGCCATTGAAGTATTAACCGATGGTTTGGGCAATCTTAGGCAACTGTTTAATAGCAAAACCCCTTTCCCTTTTTTACACGGAACATTTAGATATTGATTGTTAAAGTATAAATAAATCGTCTGTCTTTTTTTTCATGAAATTATTTCTTTAGTGCAGTATACCAGTGCACTTTTAGCTGAACTGATTGAGGCATGGTACTCGCGTACTGTTCGCAATTTGCCAAAGAAAAATCAGCTTTGCTCGAAACAGCGTCTGGTATAGATTGGCGAAAGTGGTTTTCCATCTTTTAAGTTGGCACTGAGGTGCCCAGATTTAGACAGGAAAACGACAGCGACATGATCATCGATTGGAATTGCTGGTCCTCTTTAATTTTCTTAAGGATCAATCAATCAATCAAGCTGCTGAATTATCTTCGCCGTGTAAAAGGAATTGCTTAGCTTAGCTAGCTAATTAAGCTATCCCATGGACCGCAGTGCACTTCATCTAGTAGTGACCAGAAGCTCCTAGTCAAAAAGGTGTTTTTTACACCCTGGAAATTAAAAAGAGCCCAGTTGGTAGATGTATCTGATAGTTGGTAAATGGTTTATGGTTTTAATAACAAGATCCCGTGTTCAATCCTTAACGCGGTCATAATTTTTTCTTAAAAAAAGTTTCGACAAACATATTTCCTCCAAATCTCATTTTTCTAAAAGAGCCCAGTTTATTGATCAGAATAAAAAAACGAGATTTAAAGGGACATGTCCCTCCAAATATATTTTTTTTAGGAACAAGCAGGAGCTCCTACAATTCACTATAAAAGAAGAGAGTTGATTTAATTTATAAGGAAAATCGGACCCTAAAAATCTTACAAACGGCACGGTTAATTTATAGAAAACTAGCAAAAACCCAGTATTGATAAACTGAACCTAAGAACTAAGAACACCAGCCCAACAAGGAAAAAACTCATAAAACGAAGCTTTCAAGAAGGACATGGGCGCCGACAGAACAACAAGATCGTCCTATCCTAACGATTCTAAGGTTTTCACCCGGAGAAATCCCTTGATGTGGAGTTGAAAAAGGATCCAATAGTAACGCCTTCAAGAAGGTAAATAGCACCGGGTGTCGCTGTTGCTAGCATCGGCAAGCCAAGCAAGGTTTTCACCTCGGAGTTTCATCCAAACATAGTGTCCGCAACGGAAGCCACCAAATGTCACCTGCACACCGAGGTCCCTCCAAATAATTTATAAGAAGAAATTATGAGTATGTTGAAAATTTAACACTGCAGATCGGGGTTAAAATCACAACCATTTACTACTGCACAATCAAATATATCTTTGTTTATTGATCGGAATGAAATTCACTTTGTTCCAACTTGTGTGAACATATAACTTTCATCCATCCAGAAACCAAAAATGTTTTGCTTTCCCATTACACGAAAAGTACACACGTACGCGTACACCACCACACTTATACTCCGAGATATGCCACACGCAAGAAGAAAATAGTACTGTACCCTCCTTAACACGTAATCGACAAACTAATACGGAGAATAGTTCCAATATAATCATAGAGTTAATGATTCTTACCAAGTCACGCTCACACATGCGCGTGTGTAAAATACGATCACACTAGCATTTAAACCATTGTGAATACCCTTGATGCTCTACCATGCCAGAGATGTTTGGGAAGGAATTACTAAAAGGAATCGATTTTTGGATTAAAAAAAATTCAAATATAATTATAGTTAATGTAAATGTAATTGTAACTATAATACAACTATAGCTAATTACCCTGTTCTACATAAAATTGCATGTATTTCTTTAAAGTTATAATATAGTTTAAAAATATAATTATCCTATAATTAAATATATTGTAGTTATATTTTTTCATAGAAAAGTGTGCCACTTTTTTAAAAGTTCCTTGGAAAATAGTACGACCAATTCAGTGAACAGCTTTTTTCTCCCATGTGTAGTTGCTGTTGTAGACTCTTATATAAATGGAAGTTTCGGTCAAGCTAGGCAAGTTAATTAACTAATATCGTGTGGCGATCGACTGATGATTCGGTCACTGACTAAACATGAACATGGTCAGCCGTCAGAGCTGGAGAGCTAGCAAGCAAGCAAACTGATTAATTAACAATTAATTGTTATCTAATTAAGCTAACTAGCTCCTGGAGAGATCAGTGGATCGACTGGGCTTACACAGAGGCGTGGTGGAAATTAAAGAAAAAGCAAAATCAAATAGAAATAAAGGTTAGAAGAATATTAGTACGATATATCGATGGCGATAGCTATCACTACCTCGTGCTCGCTCCGTTGAATCGAGACCAAGTGTTAAATTGCTGCTTACTTGGAATTTGGACTTGATCATCTTCGTTGTTCTCATCTCCAAAATTCTCCATAGCTAGCTTTAGCTTAGCTCTCTTCAGTTGCCTCTCCGTGCCATCTCCATCAGAGATCCCGTACGTATGTGGATCGCGATTGCATCACGCCTATCTAGAAGCTTGGATATATTCATCAGTGTTTTGGACTCAATATAATACTGAGTCACAATCCTAGTCTTTTTTACGAACATGTAAAAACTTTACACGTTAATATATTAGTAGAAAATATATTATATCTACAACAGGGTCTAGATGACTGAGGGGATACATGGAGAACAAAGGCAAGAAAGAGTTGCTACAACAACAGAAACTCTTAGAGAACCAGAAAAGCTAGCAGCAAACAGTACGAGACATTTAACGGGACTCCTAACATGCTAGTTTTTTCGCGAACGCGCAAACGATTGATTGCACATCAGTATACTAGAAATTAGAAAAAGACAGAGTTTTGATTATATGACGCAATGGGAAAA